AAATAATAAAAAAAATACCAAAATAAATCGATTACAAAATCAAAGTATATAATCGATACTGGCTGTATGTTATGTTATATGATATGTGAAGAATGCGGGGGTAACTTCAAAATGGTAACATTTTCGGAAACGGCGAGTTCGATTACTTTTAAATCGACATGTGTGGAGTGGCCATCATAAATTAGCAGAACTGGTCGCTCATTTCCGATCGCAGGTAAAAATACATTTTTAAAATATTTTTCGAAAATTGATGTTTCCATCCAGCCCTTTTGGCTTACAGCGTATGCTGTTTTCACACTATCATTTTTGTAACACCACTCGTTCCACAAGTATTTTCCTTGAAAAATTATGAGTGGTGGGACTTTATCGCCACGTGCATTAGTTGCCAATAGGACAGTTGTGTTATCACGGCCGGGGGGAGCTAGTTGTCCTAGTAAAACCTAATCATTTATGGCATTTTCCAATAAATCAAAGTATTCATATACGGTGAACGGGTTGCAAGCTTTCCTTCTAGCTATTTCGACTGACTGCGGTTTTTTTAATGATGGATTATTTCTTTTGCAAAAGCGCTGAAACCAATCATCTCCAGGAATATTATCCTTAAATGGAGTTATCCACCCATTTCTTATTGACATTTGACAATGTCAATAATAAATCGATACAGTTACAGCACGATCTGAATGCATTCGGGAGCTGAGTAAATTGCTTAAATAAAGGGTAATGCATTGCACTGCCCCCACCGTAATCTCTATCGTTTTTTTTATCATTTTTTTTGTTTAAAAGTGTGTTCTCATTTATTTCACTTGTTTTAGATGGTCCGAAATTATATTAAGAAAAAAAGAAAAGAGCTATTCAAAAGAAAAGCTTCTCGAGGCACTCGAGTTAGTTAAAAACAAAACGTTAAATAGCTACGAGGCAGCAAAAAACTTTAGTATTCCGAGATCTACTATAATTTCGCATTTATATGGCACACGTGGTCAGAAGCAGGTGAATGCTGGAATGAAGACAGTATTTTCAATTGATATTGAGTGCAAGATAGCTTCGTATCTGCATACTTTAGAAAAGTATGGCTTTCCTCTAACTAAGAAGGAAGTTAAAACATTGGTTTCGGAATACGTTGTAAGAAATGGGTGGATAACTCCATTTAAGGATAATATTCCTGGAGATGATTGGTTTTAGCGCTTTTGCAAAAGAAATAATCCATCATTAAAAAAACCGCAGTCAGTCGAAATAGCTAGAAGGAAAGCTTGCAACCCGTTCACCGTATATGAATACTTTGATTTATTGGAAAATGCCATAAATGATTAGGTTCTACTAGGACAACTAGCTCCCCCGGCCGTGATAACACAACTGTCCTATTGGCAACTAATGCACGTGGCGATAAAGTCCCACCACTCATAATTTTTCAAGGAAAATACTTGTGGAACGAGTGGTGTTACAAAAATGATAGCGTGAAAACAGCATACGCTGTAAGCCAAAAGGGCTGGATGGAAACATCAATTTTCGAAAAATATTTTAAAAATGTATTTTTACCTTCGATCGGAAATGAGCGACCAGTTCTGCTAATTTATGATGGCCACTCCACACATGTCGATTTAAAAGTAATCGAACTCGCTGTTTCCGAAAATGTTACCATTTTGAAGTTACCCCCCGCATTCTTCACATATTCTTCAACCGCTAGATGTAAGTGGAATGAAGCCCATGAAGGATCGATGGCAAAGGCTTCATATCGGTTAAATGGCAAAGGCTTCATATCGGAGCAAAGTTACCCAAAAGTGAGTTCGCACGAATTATTACTGAAATATGGGATGTTATGAATCCTGTTATTCTAGCCAGTGGATTTAATAAAACTGGTATTTATCCCTTAAATCGGCACGTGATCCCAAAAGAAAAGTTTGATCCCTTAACTTGGTCTAGATGGGAGCAGTATGTTCAAAGTCAAACATGCGAGCAAGACAACTACGTCGAAGATGTCAGTGTAAGCCATCGAGCACCATTTGAAAAATTGGTCGACATACCTCTTAAAAACGTTCCAACTCTCGTTAGATTGGCACTTAAAAGTTTAAACTCTCAACCAGGCCATAAAAGCCTTACATATTGTAAAGATTCAAAACAAACGGAAAACAAGATTCAAAATAAAGAGAACATGATAAGTTACGAAAGACAACAACAGAATAATTCAATACAATATCATGAACAGAATAATAGAACTAAAAAAAATGAAATAAATAAAATACTAAGAGTTAAAAAAGAAACAAGTACAGAAATAAGAACCTATGAAAAAAGTAAGAAAATTCAGAATGACACAGCTATAACAGAATTGAGTAACAAAACTGAAATAACTCTGGAAAAGGAAAACAAAAAAGAATCATGTATCCAAAGACCGTAGAAGATCCTCGTACATATAAACTACCACTTCCAAGTCCAAAAAGAAAAAAAAACTTATTCAAATAACATTCAAATTGTCGGAAACGAGTTAATTCAGGCAGCAAATACCACTAACCAGATAAATGAAGACAACTTTAACGTATCATTTGAAGAACTTCTGTTAAATTCAATTGCTCGCAATGATCCTCCAAAAAATAAAAAAACGCGTGTGACAAGGGGAGCGGAAATACTAACTTATAAGGAAGTTATTGAGAGAATGGAAAAGGAACAAGAAGAAAAAAGAGTAAAGAAAACAAAAAAAGAAAATCAACCTAAAAGAGATGAAAAAACAAAAATTGAAAAACAAAATAAAAAAAGAGAGGCCTAAGAAACAATAAAATTAAAAAGAACCATGAAACTGACAGTAACAGCAGTTGTTCCTACAATTAGATGATTCATCAGATGAAGACGCTAATACTTTTTGGGAAACCTTACTAACTACAGAACTTTCCGACGATATTGACATTAACGAAACTTGTAAGCAAGTTTCTGAAATTGCATCTACTTCGACGGAAATGGCATCTGCTTCGATAGAATTACCAGCTTCTATAGAAACTTCATCTAATTTAATGGAATTGGCAACTAAGTCTAAAGATATGCCATCATTTTCGGAAGAATCTCTAGTCTCAGATGTCCCAAATGAAGGCACTTTTGTTTTAGCGAAATTTAGTTCCACGCGGGGCAAAAAGACTTACAAATACGTATGTCGTGTACAAGAAGTCTCAGATACCAAAATTGTAGTTACAGGGCTCAAGTCATACAAACGAAAGAACACGTTTCGAATAATCGAAGATGATATCTCAATTATTGATTTCGATGACGTAGTCGTAGTTACTTATCTTCCACAACCAGAGAACTTAGATGCAGAATTGTTTAAGTTTCCATACAATATTGATGTGTACGAAGTATAATTTTTGCCTTGTTTGTATAAATAATAATAATTAAGCATAAAGTCTAAATTAAACTTTTTAGTAAAAATGTGCCATTGATTGAAACACGACGTGATGTTAAGCTGAAGTATGTTGTTATATATCTTTTTTTTATCAATTAAGCAAAATGTTCTCATAGGAAAATTTGATAAATATTTTCCATTGATTTAGTATTTAATTTAATTAAGTTCATAGTCCTCATAAATAAATGTGATAAATATGTGCAATTGATTTAATAGTGAAGTGATTCGGTTTGATTTAGTATTATATTAAGTATAATATTCTTGTATTTAAACATTAAAAATTTGATTAATATGTGCCATTGATTGAAACACAGTGATGATTACTATAACTGCTAATGCGTATGTTATTTTTACATCTGTTTTTTTCCAAATTATTCATAAAGTCCTCTAAAAATGTGATGAATATTATGTTTCATCGATTGAAACACAAAGTGATGTTAAGCTAAAGTAGTTATTTTTATTTATCTGTTTTTTCAATTAAGCATAAAGTCCTCATAGGAAAATTTGATAAATATTTTCCATTGAAATTTTTTATCCTCTTATAAGATGTGATTTATATGTGCCGTTGATTTAGTATAAAGTGAAGTCAAATAAATATAAATTAAAAACAATGCATAGTTTTATTTCCCTTAGTCACCCATCATATTATCGATTACCTACACTTTTTTACAATTTGTCGATATTTTTTACGCCAACACAGCACTAATCCTATAGAAAATAGTCACATTAGCCCCCCAAAAATACAAAATATACTTTTAGTCGTATCAGGGCTTGACCGGGTGCAACTTAGAGATCATTTTTGCGAAAATTTCACGCTGGAGGATCATGCCTCTGATTCTGAGCACATACGCTACAAAAACGAATAAGTTATTTTAAACAGTTGCATTTACCCCAACATGGGGCTAATGCGACTTTTTCTGCCGGCATGGGTTAATATTAAGATTTTGTGTAAATCTTACAGCTTTTTGACATTATTATAGGTCGATACGAATCTCCGTTATATGCCTTCTTAATCTTATAGTTTCAATATATCAATCCAATAAAATAAGGTGGACATTTTTAGCAAAAGGTAAAAATTTTATTTTTTTTAGTTGCAATAGCCTCCATTGACCTTATATATATATATATATATATATATATATATATATATATATATACGTGACTTCCACATCAGACACTTTTGCCATTACTTGCAATTTTTCCAGTGATATCAGTGAACACGAAGTGAAGGAGTGGTATGAGTAAGTCACAATTACTTCTTCTGTGTGAACTTCTTTGTGGAATTTCTTACCACCGGCGCGTTTCCGGACCGATAAGAATTAGGGACCTTCAAGAAAAGAGCTTACCGGCCTGCGTTGCCGGCCTTTTAGTAAGGACAACGGCCGGCAAGTCAGTTCCAATGGTCTTGCGATTGTTCACGGGCGGCGGTAGTCTCTTACCATCAGGTGAGGTACATGCTCGATTACCCCCTCATCTATAAAAAATAATAAATGAATATATTTTTAATTATATAAACACAGTATTGTAAATAGTATGGTACTTAACATAAAGCTGGAGTTTTTGAACACAATGGGCAAAAATACCTTGTTTCTTTGTGAGTCTTATTTTTGGTACACACTACTCACGGTTTAGTTGGCTTGCTTTTCTTTTCTGTAGGTGGTATATATTCCAAATAATGCTGAAACAATACTTGACCACTTTGATTGACCTCTTTGGACTGCCCTGGTCTTTCAGAATAGTCGATATACTTTTGGCTTAACAAGTGGATAATAACATTTTCAGTAAAATTCAGTAGAGGTATTCTCTCCGATCTGTTCAGTCCAGATTGACCATTATGTATTCTTGCAGCATTATGTATAAACATTTGAAAAATGTGAATAGCGAACTTTTTATACCAGTATTTGGTTTTTTTCATACTCTCATAGTAGGAAATCATTTGGTACGAGTAGTCTACTCCTCCCATTCCGTTATTGTAATCAACAACAATATTAGGTTTTAGTTTAAATTGATTCCTGCGATTTCTGATAGTTATCATTTCAGGATTGTGCATATTTGAAACGGTTAGAACATCGCGTTTGTCTTTCCATTTGCAAACAGCTACTTCCCCCTTTCTTCTCCAAATCATCTCACCTTTCTTCAGCCGATGTCACAACTTTTGGATTACCCTTACGGGTTGATTGCAAAGTTCCGCATAAGTAAGTTTTATTTGCACTCATTTTTCTTGTCAGCTCAACGGAGTTATAGTAGTTATCTGTATATACCTTGTAACCTTTATTCAAGTAATCATCTAACAAATCTGTTACAATTTTTGAAGTTTGTCCACCTTCCTGACCTTCTGATTTGCCTGTGTAAAGTTTTATCTTCAGTATTTTGCCGTTACTTTCACATAGTTTATATACCTTGTTGTCGTAACTATGTTTTTATTTTTTATGTAAACTCGAAAAAAAAGTCTTCCTTTCCACGACATTACAGATTCATTTATGCATAAATCTTTATTCGGGGCATAAATATCTTGCATCAATTTGTTGAAATGTTTTATCAAAAATCTTATTTTGTAAATACGGTCACTTTCATCAACTTCTTCGAAAAATGGAAAAATCTGAATAGTATCTGGAATCTATTACGGCTCATCAAACTTCTAAAAAGCGGAATGTTATATAACTTATGCTTACTCCAGTATAGTGGTTTTTGAGGTAATTGCAAGATACCCATATGTAAACAATAGCAATAAATACCTTCATCTCGGCTTTATTCGTTTCTCTACATTCTTTCAATCTTGACGAAAGTCGCAAACGACGCGTTGAAAGCACTTGGGTGGCGTAACGGTTTCCGTAACTAAATTTTCCGAGAAGTCGTCGTTGAAGAACAAATCAGCATACATAGAAGGAGCTGTGCTCTTATTAGAAGCTATCTTCGCACCTGGCTCAGGACCCAAAAACGGGAAGTCTGAAATTTCCCAGGGTATATCTATCCATTCATTACTCTCGTTTTCTCCTACCAAAGGGAAATTTTCTTCTGAACTTGGCTGAAGTTCTGAGTTAGACGTATCTGGAGCATCACTACTATCTAATGAAGAAGAAGATTGAATAGTATTGGATCGTAATGTAATAGCTTGTTGTGTGGCTTGTGCGTTTGAACGAGACTCAGCATGTTCGCGCTCCGAAAACGAACTATCAGCGCTTGTATCAGGTTGCACATACAATTCGTCTTCATCTGTCGAAGAGAAGTCATCACCACTCTCGTCACTACATTTTTTATGCAGATAATTACTTGTTACGATAGCACATCTCAATAATGTCACTCACACGCCACCATTTGGTCAGAAGCCACGCCCCCTAACTGGCCAAAACTAGTTGCACTGTTAGTTCGTGTCTAGCTCCCGAACACGAAGCAACCTGTCGTGTTTTATTTTTTTAAAGAAAATATTAGTAATCCTATTAATTAATATTACTAATATTCCTTTAACCACTCCTGGTAAGCTTAAAACGCTTGTGTTAGGAGTGGTTCACGACAGTAGTCGAATGGCGGATTCGAACCCACGACCATTTGAGTTCGCGGTCTGAGCACTTTTTTTTTTAACATGGGGAAATGCCTACGCATACCCGCATCGCGGGGGCAAGGACGGGTTATGTCGGACTCACACCGACTAAAACCCCATGGTGTTCCACCTTCGTCGCATATTGGCAGGGCTACGGGAACGCTTTCGCACACATCCGCGGCCCCACCAGCGACTGCCGCCCCATGGCAGCACCTCATCGGGAGAGGAATATTCCTCCCCGTTCTCCTTTCCAAGTAAGGCGCACCAGAACACATGGCACGCCTTCCTCCACGGCCTCCAATTACATCTGCGCAACAGACGCCCCCGCGTCCGATGCGCGAAGGCCATGGGGCCAGGAAAAACGAGCACTTAGAAGTACTAGCCTTCCCGACCCCAGCGGCGGATCTGGTCTATGGCTCCGCCGCCAACCAAGATTCGGCTGCGGAGGATAGGGAGAGCGGCGCCTCGCAATACCGACAATCCTCTCCCCCCGCAGCCCCATCACCACCGCATCAACGGTGCGGCCCCGTTTGAGTCGCGGAGGATAGGGCGAGTGGCGCATCGCCATACGAAGTGGGCTTCCCAAGCCCACTCGGAGTGGCCACCTCGGGCCGGCCCTCCACCTCGGACCAGCCATATGGGTTCCTCTTTGTTTCGCCGTGGGTGACCAAGCCACGGCTTCTAAGCCCCCCCGCCACGACAAGGCGGGAACCCGTTCGGGGGGGGGGCGGTCTGAGCCCTGCCATTAGGCTACTGTCGCTTTTTGTTGCTTCCTGTTTTCCCGCCGAATTACGAAATATTACCATTTTCTTTGCCGACTACGACTATAGCCGTATACGAATATACTCGTAGTCAGCATAGTCGAATGGATTTATGTTCTACTATGCCAAGTACGATTTATCTCGTAGCTGCTTACACAATGGTTCACAAATCATGGTTCTCTGAGAGGATCAGCGTCAGAAGAGGAGGATCATCAAGCTGTGGATGATGTTCAAAGTAAAGACGAGAACGGTTATGTTACTGACGAGTTCTTCTCTTTACGATCTGCTTCGACTGAAGAAACTGTCCAAACAACTGCTGCAGCAGCTTACCCATCTACTCTTGCTCATTTTTTCGACGTATTAGTCTTGGGTTTTGACTGCTCAAGACTTATACGTCGTGTCTCCGAAAATACACTTCGCGGTTAGAACGAATGTTTGGTCAACTACCAAGGGTCAATCATCTCAGAGAACTTCAGCTATGAATATGATCAAGAACAATAAAAAAAACCTAAATAGAAGAAAGATTATGAAGCAGATCATGAACACAAATTTGGCCAAGCCTTGGATGGAGATGAGAAGCGCTGACTTTGAAGAAATCTTTACGAGAAAACATAAACACAATATAAAATCTACTGAATATAAAAACTAACTGAAGTAATGAAGTTCAGAAGGGAGAACCTGAGCCCAAAAACCGTAAATGTTACCCTTTTTGCTCTGTGTTATAAGTACAAAAAGTCAGTATGTTGCGAGCACAAAGTTTATGTGTGTGTAGACTGCTCTAAGCTTTAAGCTAGTCTGTGAAAATCTGATTTGATTTAATAGTTGTGCTAAGAAAAAGTCATTAAACAGTAAAAACACATATAAGATAGTTAAAAAAATGTCACAGTTGATTAATCAGAAGTTATTTTTTTTGTATGAATATAAGCAGATTGTTTTAATTTGTTGTAATATAAATAGCTGTGACAGCAGTCTTCATTAATGAATCTGTGTTTTGTTACTAGAATAAATGCCTATCTTACGGGTCCTTAAAAAAAATCGCAAATAATTATACTTTAGCCCAGAAATGGTTATTTATATATGCACGCCTCAGAGGCGTATGTTAAGGATTTACGTATCTCTGAGATAGATTAGGCTTCTATAGATAGATAGATTAGGTTAACATTACAAATTAAAATACATCTACATTTACATTATTTTACACGTCAAGCAAGTCAGGAAATGAACATTTCATATTATATTCTTCTATATTATATAAAGCGTGATTCAAAAAATATGTTTTTGTAACTTGTAGAAACGTGTTTAATGCAAGTCTTGTTATTTCTAAAATTATTTTACAATTTATTGTACATTTTGTTTTTTTAACGAAAACACTTTCTTGGATGCTTTATCCGACTACGACGTAGCCTAAAAGTGTAGCTAGCGATAACGGTTACGGGAGTAAGTAAAGTTTTATGGTAGAATTTAGGAGTAATTTAATGAAATAAGTAGGTTAGACAAAATTACTTTTTATTCATCATCCTCTCTAACAACTACAATATGCAGGAGTGATGCTGGCGCTGGCGATATTGTCGGCTGATGCCTGACCCACCCAAGGTACCACACAAGCGTCATAACATGTGCACGTCACCCAACTGTCCTTCGATTCATCATAGTATGTGTTGCAACTTTATTGAGTCTTAGCCTACAGGGATGACAAACATGGTCTGTTGAAGTTGCCTGAAACAACCATAAAGCCCTGTCTTAATATAATTATTTTGGCTCATTATTATTAAACCAGAGCAAATGGAAACATTTTTACAAAACATTATAAAATTGCAGTAATAAATTCACTATAACATAAACCAGAGCAAATGGAAACATTTTTACAAAACAATATAAAATTGCAGTAATAAATTCACTATAACATAAACCAGAGCATATGGAAACATTTTTACAAAACAATATAAAATTGCAGTAATAAATTCACTATAACATTGATACCAAGACAAAACAAAACAAAAGAACAAAATAAAAAGGTAATTATTACCTGCCATGGGACAATTCTACTTTCAAGCTACATGTATTGCTTGTTGCAACTGAGATGGATTCTATCTCACAATAATGTCACGTTTAAGATTCCTCAGAGAACTTCCACAAAGTATACAAACATGCTTGTGGCCACGGGAAGATGAGGCACCAGTTTCATTAGGTAACCCGGAGTTGACATGCTGTATTGCCAATCGCTAACAGGTATCAGATACGTAATCTTCTTCAGTGATCTAAAATAAGAATTAGAGTTGTATTATGATGTATGATTAGAGTGGTATTATGATGATGTATTATGTTAGTGTAATAAAATAAGTAGGTATGTAAATACGTAATATTATTGAAGAATTCCACTCGCAGATCTTAGAAATTACTCTGGTATCAAGCTCAAAAACGAGATGGCGGCGAAGTGTATCAATGCATATATTACAATTAACACATAGCAATCGCACATCTAGTTGTCTTTGTTGTGTAGTTGTGATGTCTCTCACAACTATCCAAGATGTGAAAAAATCAGGCCGCAAAACAATAGCGAGGTCAAAACAACAGAAGGAAATGACAATAATGGCGTGGATCAATGACCACAGATTAAGCGATGACAAATGACGTTCCGTTATACATATGTAATTGAACAAATAGCTTAGCTTACTATGGCCTACATTATTATTTTTATGACAGTACATAATAAATCAGCATAGTAGTTGATTTGATGTCTTCATACTAATTCAATTGAATTAAAATTAACAACTATTCATAAAAACGTAAATGATTATAGTCTTTGAATACCAAGTCCTTTCATATACGAAATGAGCCGTCACTATGTACGTTCTGAAACTATTATTTGAAATAATTTTGAACAGTTACAAAAACAGAAATAAATGGATAACTTTTTTGCGGCTACTTAGAGAGGTATTTCTTTTGTGTTTTAAGACCTTATACAATAAGGGTATTTTACATAAATATTTCATATCGGGACGTTATCATTTCGTTGTCCGGTACGATTTGGCGACCTTTCCGACTAAAAAAAACAACATCTCAACGTTAGAAAACAATATTTTTGAAATAAAAAAAATATAAAGTTGTGTACAATTTTGACATGTTGCAAGCATAATACCCTCTGTATATAACTTTAAATATATGTACCATATTTGCAGCAAAAAAAATTGTTTTATTTCTTCTTTTTGGAAGGACAAAAAAATCTAACAACGTATAATTTATCTCTGTAGTTCGAGGACAGGTCTGTTATTTTCTATTATAGAATCTTTCCAGCTAGTTCGTCAGTAAACAGGATTGCCAATGCTGTGTTGATGTCGGCTTGTTTCGACTTGTTTTTCCTGCTAAACCAGGTAATTGGGTAACAATGTTTTCACGTCGTGTTCTCGAAGAATATGGAGGCGTCTTCGACCATTTAACTGATTACGTCCGTACCAGTAACCTCTGGATGAACCACGTGATCGTGATGGTGGCGGAGGTGGTGATAGTGATTCACCATGAATGAGCTCGTCATTTTGTGGAACAAACTCAGCAAAACTTCTCGTAGTGTCGAAACGTGATGACTTCTCCGAGTTATCCTCTAATTCACTTAATTCAGACACTGTGTCGTGATCAATATGTTCGGAGCAGTGGTCGCCATAGTCCGAGTCACTATCACACTCATCAAGCCACCACAGTATTTTTTCTCCTTAATTTTCCGCCATTTTTAAACTTCGCCTCCGAAATAAAGTCACACTTAAGGTATACATGGGTCAAATCTGACCTAAGGGCGTACGACATTCCGAAAATTTGCGCCGAAACTAGACACGCGTGCACTTGCATTATAGTGTTCTGTGCGATCGAAGAATACAGGGCGCAGTGTGAGTGAATATCGAACTAATGTTGAATTATGATTGATCAAAAGTAGTCCGTGTCTGTTTTGACCCATGTATACCAGTTAAGGTTTAAAAATACCGAATGAAGATACTTTTGACTCATTACAAATATATAACAACCATTGAAATAATACAGCACAGAGTTGCCTTATAACAAAATTCATTTATATCATCATTACGATAATTTGAATAGAATGGCATAAAAAAATTGTGATGGAATTGTTTTCGGTACTCATGCGTCGATTCCTCCTGGATTATTAAATTCAGTTGCGAGTCCTAAAAAAGATAAAAACGTTTCAAATTAAATAAAACCTTTTAAAAACAAGTACGAAGACAATACCCGGTTTCATATTATAGTATACGTTATTTATAAAAAAAAAATGTAAAACGAGCAGAACCTTTTTTATACGAGGTAATGAATAACCGATATAATCTCGGGTGCAATCGTGTTTAGGGATATTAAGCTTAAAAATAACTTTTCATAAAATGCTTTTATTTTTCATTCAACCTTAACGAAAATCTGTAGATAATGTTATAAAGTCCAGAAGGATCGAAAATTCAGTCAATTGAGGATTATTTTTGCGACAATTAGATAGGTAGGTTAAAAAAAACGGAACTCAAATCACTCATTTTTTAGAATTGATTGTCTGCCTGTTTCTCGTCACGGGAAAATAAAATGCATGGATTTCAACGATTACTTTTAACTAAGTAGGAATTGTCCCCACTCAAAAACTGGTGTATATTTTATCAGAACGTTCAAACACATCATGAGATAATAATGGAGGTGTCAAGCACGCTTGACTTTAGAACGTTCCTCGTGGTCAGTACTAACATCATCAAAAACCAGAGAATTTTACATAGTTTTCGATAGATAATACCAAAAAACCGGCCAAGAGCGTGTCGGGACACGCTCAGTGTAGGGTTCCGTAGTTTCCCGTCCGTCACAATAAGTGTTCCCACTTATGAGTTTAAAGGTGGGTATCTACTATGTTCGCGCTCCAGCAGCGCTCCGCGCTCCTGCAACTGCTCCCGGTAGTGGGTACCTACTATTGTTTCCATCCAAGTTCAAAATGATTTTCCTAGAAAGTCCTTATAAAGTTCTACTTTTCAGATTTTTTTCATATTTTCTAAACTTATGGTTCAAAAGTTAGAGGGGGGGACACATTGTTTTTTACTTTTGGAGCGATTATTTCCGAAATTATTGACATTATCAAAAAATGATTTTAGTAAACCCCTATTCATTTTTAAATACCTTTCCAACAATATATCACACGTTAGGGTTGAAATTAAAAAAATCACTTCCCACTTTACATATAGGGGGGCTAGCCTAAAAAAACATTTTTTTCCAATTTTTGACTACGGAACCCTAAAAAGACAAAATTGTGGTTAGTCGTTAACTTACCTACTTAATCAAAGTCAACTTTAACGTTGCCCTTAACTTTTCTATCGCCAATCTACAGATTCTTTTATTATGTTCATATAAATATAATGTAACATAAACAATTAATGTTTTAATTCATTTAATGTCTTTGTAATGTATTTATTGGATGCCAATTTTGGCCTTCTGCACTCCTTCTCCATATAAACTTTAACTATGCCAAATCTCTCACATTACTGTGCACGCAATATGCTCAAAAATGTACTCATGCATTAATATATAGATGAGATACATATACACATATTAACAAAATTGAAGTGTCTAATATATAACTGGGTTCTAGTAAGCGCAGGGAGTTTTTGCATGGTATTAAAATATTTGACTGTCTATCCGGACTGATCTTCGGAAAGTTTAAGCCGATTGCGACGAAACTGCGAAGCGGATAGGAGGATTTGTGCTATTTTATCCTAAAAAATCCGAAAAAAGTAGAAAACTGAATAAAATAAATAGTTTTTGATAAACAACGGACTATATTCAACAAGCCCTCGGACACTGAAGAAACACAAGTAAGTACAACTTTAAACATTGAAGATGAACAAGAAAGGTCTCCTTTCGATGCACTTCTCCTCAGTGAGAATTCTTCATGTGAACCAATCACACTATCCATTTTACTCAAGCTATTAAAGGCAAAACTCGACACATGTGGGCAACTCATAAACAACATCTTTCCCATATTTTTGCGATAAATTTTGTTCACATGGCTAGAGGACCCAGCCAGTTTGGCTAAAACCTCAACTTGAAAATACCAACAATGTGACAAAACTAGGGGTGAATTGGGTAACGAAGTTCATCTACGACAGTTTGAAGTGCATGTAAATGAGTTATCTAACAGCTGATTAGTTATAAACGGGTAGCGGGAGAGGGAAGCGGACCCTGGCTTTGAGGGCTAACGCGTATCGTTTAATGTTCTTGAAATTGTGAACTGCCCAGGGACGCAACGCTCGTCAGCGGACTCTCTGCATCATATGCGTTGTTCTAACTGTGTTTGTGATACTAGGTGAATGTGTAGTTTTGGCGTGTGATACTACAGACTCAAAAACACAGTATAAATATCATCTTGTATTTATGTCAGATATGAAATACTCTTGTTAGTACAGGAAAATATTAATCAAAAGTTGGGATAGATTTGTGTCAAGACTCTGGGTGTCCACTGTGCGCGATATAGGAAAATAATTAAAATTAAAAGATCTGTTAGTTTCATATAAAAAAGTCTTACTACTTATCCTTAAAGATTAAAAATTTTGTTTTAAAATTTGGGAAATTAGAAAAAATAATTTACTACTAAAACTTTATGTGATTATATATTTATTACAATATACAATATTACACATTCCTCCTCGCGCTGCTGTGTGTGTGTGTGTCGATTCTGTGTTAACACTTTCCTATACGTATGGTAATTACCCCCCTCCCCATATATAAAATATTTATACGAAAGAAAATGACTAAAGGTGACTTCTGTAACAAAGGGGTAACCACCAAGGTACCCAGACTGGAATGCAGATCATGTGGCAAGGTGGTTCATGCTAGTAAAGCTTGCTTTGGTCTCAACGCGAAGCAACTATCTGCTTATTGTAATACGGACAGACTTGATTGGACATGCGAAGAGTGTCATCAGAATACACTTAACAGAAAATCATCCTTCATTATTCCGGAAGAAGACAATGACGACGATGTTGCCGTTAAGGAAAATCACAGAATAAATTAAAAAAGTTTTAAAGAAGGAACTTCTATCAATGAAAACATTAGTGAGCTTCTGTTGCATAAAAAATTATAATCTTTCCAAAATTGTGGAAACTCAAAACAAACATTTCTAGGAATTAGAAAAGAAGTACAACCATCTTCGTAATGAAAAAACTCATCTTGTGCTTGAAATGAGCTCACTGAAACAATATCTACGTAAAATTGAACAACAGCGTTTAAACAATATGATAGAAGTGATAGGTATCCCTAAATCTAAAGACCAAAATCTTGTAAACATATCTCTCAAACTAGCTGAGATACTCAACGTGGACAGGACGCAGGAAGTGAATATTACACGTGTAGAAAATTGAATAACCAAGATGGAAACATCAAGGTGAAGGTCTAGGTGTAGAACATGCAAGCTTATGGGTGCTATTCTCCAAAAAGGAAGCAGTAGTGTTAGAACAAATTATCTCCGAGGCCCCTGTGGAAGTTGGTAAGATGAAATTGACTATGCGACGGCACCCTGACCAAAGCCAATAAGTCATTATTATGGCTAGCACAACAAAAATTGAGACCGGCATACAAATATGTCCGACTCCAGGATGGAAAGGTGTTACTACGTAAAGACGACAAAGCCAAGCCTAAGGTCGCCCGAAGCGAAGCTGATATAGAGGTCTCAGCAATAACGAAAATAATCGGCTAAAGTTCAAAGTGGTAAAAGATTTCTAAATTATTCACCCAGGTTCTCTTTTCTTATCATCAAGAAATATTAAATTGTGCCAATATTAACAAATTTCGCTGACAAATACTCCCTACTTTATTAAATCTATCTTAATATTGTCCATATAAACATGATCGTTGAATTAAACTTTTTGCTATGTTACACAATTAAGTACCTCTTCTAAAATGATTATTAATATTTTAATCTTAAGTGAAGTCAACATAAATAATAATATGGTTTCTATGCTTCATATTAATGTCTATAGACTATATAGTATTTTGCGTAAAAATAAAAAAGGCGTGGTATAATTCTATATACCAGAGAGACTCATTCGCGCCAAAAAAACTTTGAGATTACTATCGGTAAGATCACTACGCCTTACAAATACTCCGCTTTCATCTGTGCTATTTAAAGACCACCAAGTGAGAGTACGCACATATTTGTAAAGGAAATAAATAGGCACCCGCTATCCAAATCTATATTACATATATGTTTCACTTAGTTCTTAGGTGACGTTAACATAGACTTAAAAATATGCAATAACATTCAAGATTGGTAGTATATTCGAGTGCGGTCTAACAAGCGCGATTTACGATTATATAAGAATTGAAATACGCGGTAATGAAACAACTCGCAGCTTCATAGATCACATTTTTGCTGGTAAGCGCTCGTTAGAATTTACTCGGCCTCGCACGGAACTGTTATAGATGACTATTGCATTTATTATATTGTAGTGCATAATAGGATTCGATTAAACGCAAATACAAAATGATAAAAAATAACCCAACGGATTGATAATTATAAAATTAAATGTTTAATTAAAAGTCTAGATTGGAGCGAAATCAGAGATACAGAGTATCCAAATAAAATTTTCGATTGCATCAAAAATAAATTCAATGATTGTTACTATGGTTCAAAATATATCACAAAAAATAGTAAATGAGTAAAAAGAAGGAAGAATTATTCATCGAATGAAAAAATGATTCTATGGACAAATTACTAAGATTGGAGTATAAAAAATTAAGAATTAATATACATTAAATAATAGAAAAGAGTAAAAACAAATATTCCATGGAACAAATAAATAGTACTAAAATGAATCTTAGAGATCTATGACAAGTTTAAAAGGAAATATTAAAAGCTTTGCTATTGATTTAGTGTCAATATTTTTATTAAATGAATAAAAAATATTGACACTAAATCAATAGCAAATTGTGTTAAAAGAAATCCTGCCCAAATCTAACCTACGGCTTCTGGATGAATCAGAATTTACATTCCCCGATAATAAACATATTTATTTTAAAATAGCCTCAACCGAATGTTACCATTTTGTAACATATCTTTGATATGCAGACAAAACAGCGTTCCTGATATCGAAGCCTTGTGGAATACCAGCGTTAATGGGCAAGTAATCGGAGCTTGCACCGTCTATTACTATCTTGATGCCTTGATCTACAAGAAAACTGGTGATGCGATTGCAAAATTTTTCGGGAAGCTCATAGGAAGGCAGCTTTGTAAGAAGCCTTTTTTTGCTAATTCCAACAGCAGGCCTGCGCTATGTCCAAACTAACGGCCAACGTCTCCCTCTTGAACTCTACTACCTCCGGCTTTCTATGAGTTAGGTAACGCAGAAGAACACCAGCTGAGCGACGCTGACAGAAATTCTATCGGCGGTCAATAGTCAGCTGGTGATACTCAAGTTATCTCTTGAGCTGGCAGGTAATAATTGGTTCCATTATTTTAGAAAACAAGGAGATGATAGCGAGAGGCTTGTAGTAAAACGTATCTAAACTTTTTTAGGTATTGGATGTACTAAAGCTAACTTTCTTAAGTTTGAAACTCCGTCTAGGAAGTAGAAATACCATAAAAGACGCGTCAAAACCGGTGCCAACACCAGGGCACACGTCTTCAGCACTACAGGAGAGACACCACTAGGCTTACTTGAGTTTTTGACATCCAAGGAGAGGAGTGCTCTCAGCATAGAGCCCTGGGTAAGCAGCACATCCTGCATGGAGAACTCACACCGCTGGATAGTAGGCAGTGTATTCCCTCCGTCATCAAGAGTCTAGTTGGACATAAAAAGAGAGTCCAGCTTATCGGATTTGTCCTATGTGGCATGGAGCAGTGAGACGTCCGCCCTGTACAGAGATGGAAGAGATGGTTGACAGAAGTTCCCTCAGACTGCCTGGGTGAGAGACCAGAATGCACGTGTTCCCGAAGAAAGTCGACCTAGTTTCTCTCCAATTCTGCCCTTTGACACTTTTGAAGGACCTGGAGGCGGAATTATAGTTCTTTATAAGAGTAAAATAGAAAATAGCATTTTCACTGGTAGCACTACTGCTTATAGCGTGATGCAATATTGCAAGAGCAATCAAACCATGGCTGGTTTCTGCCTCTGATTTATACGGTACGAATGATGTTACGAAAAAAACTATGGTACGAAAGAAGATGAAGTAATCAGCTCCATTTCCTTTAGCACAAAATCAGTGACAGAATCAGCACCAACGCATGGATTATCCGACGAGAAGCAAACTCGCCCCAAAGGTACGATGCAAACAAAGATCGCATCCTGTTCAAATCCGCTGACCTCTAGTGACAAACATTGCGGCAACCTGCAGAATGCAATAATGATGGGAGCGTGAATATAAACGAGATATAGTCTTGATTGTACGTCAAACCTTAAGCCTTTTTTTATAGAATGAGGGTGACAAACTAACACACAATCCACCAGATGATATGTGGGTCCGGTGGCCCATAGACATCTAAATTTATCTTCAATTATGAATCAAAGTGCAGATGCGTTTCCAGCTCTAAGGAATGAGATGGAATGCCTCGTTTTCAGTAATAAGGGTCTGTGGTTCTCTACACTCATCATACGAAACACAGCAGTAATAAGCTGCTATTTTACCCTGGTATTCTGTGAAAGCGTGGCCCTTCCCCGGTCGAGCCGATCCATTCGTGTTACAACTATAATATAGCTGCAGCGTGGCTCTACCACGTTCAAAAATCACACGTCTCTACAAAAATCTAAAACTTGTAAAGATAAATTAAACCATACCTACAGTAAGACCATTTTATTTAAGAAAGGGGTATTCTGCATAGGTCCTCGCCAGTATAACCGTTAACCAATATATGTAAAAGAATTTGAGACCTTCACAATTAATTATTATATAAATTTAATTCAAGATCATAAATAATTCAAGATCAAAAATAAATTTAATTCAAGACATTTTAAAATATCTTTAACCAAAAGGAAGTATTATAATATTGGTGAATATTTGTTTGACAATTTTTGAATTTCAACTATAAAACTTATTGAATAGAACCATACCATTTTACTGTGTGATTTAATTTAAAGATATTAAAATTGAGTAATTTTAGAGTTAGTATATAATTTGTTAAATTTTTATGACGTTATTAATTGAAATAGAAGTATTATAAGTAATCAATAAGTTTTGGTTCATTTTTGTTGAAATTTTTAAGATCTATGGTAACTCTATATCGCAATCGAATAAATAAATATGGATTTGAATTATACAGTATTTTTCTAGTGAATTCCAAAGTGTCAAAACGGCGAAATAAAATTGGATAATTCTTTATTTTAAATCAATTATGCATCAATAATAATTAAAATATAATTTACGTTTCAATATGGCAGCGGTGCGTTGAAACATCTGTTCTAGTATTATTAAATGATAATTTAACGATTGCGACGAACGTTGATAAACGTCTGCTAACTTCATATTTATGATGGCTCCGTGCGCAGTAGAATAAAGTTAAGTAAAGTTACAGCCTATATATATGTCCCAAAACTGGACACAGGCCTATCCTCATTTTTGAGAGGGTTTTAGGGCAAGGAAGTGTCCGCCGCGCTGCCCCAATGCGTGTTGGCGAACTTCACATGTCTTCGAAATATTTTTTTCTCCTATTCCTCAGACATGCAGGTTTCCTCACGATGTTTTCCTTCACCGTCAAGCACGTGGTAAATTAGCAATTAAAATTGCAATTAACAATTTCATTGGTGCCGGCGGGGATCGAGCCCGGGTCACTCGCATTTACAGCGGGCGTTAACCATCTGAGCTACCACGGCGGTAGCTTAGCAATGAGTTATAGCGTTGAGGGCCGCGGGTTCGAATACCGCACGGGACTAGTATTTGTATGGCCTACAAGTAATTATTCCGTGTCTAAATGTTTGTCCTTGTGCAATTTATGTATGTACATAAATTGCCTCCACGATACAGGAGAAAATCCTAGTGTGGGGGTCACGTTTAAAAAAAACCAATATTTTAAAGATATCTTTA